TTTTTTTTTTTTTTTTTTGATTTCAGGTTAATGGTAGGGTACAAACAATTAACTACAAAGTATTTGATTTTGTTAGGTAGAGTCGCTCTTGTGGTTATGTCCCATACTCATAAGGTGTGCCAAACATCCCTACACTGTGCACACACTCTTCCCTGTGCCCACCCCCACCCACTCTTTTCTCTTCCCCTCTCTCTTTGCCTCTCCCCCCACTTATGTGGTCATGCATTAGATCATCTACTGGCTCCATATTAGTATTGAGTGCATTGGATAATTGTTTTTCCATTCTTGTGATACTTTACTAAGAAGACTGGTTTGCTCCATCCAGGATAATACAAAAGATGTGAACTTACCATCTTTTTATGGCTGAATAGTACTCCATGGTGCTCCAGTAGTACTCCATACCACAATTTGAAAGATATTTTCTTGTTTGCATTTTTTAAAAACTTTTCTCATTGAGATCTATAATCCACCTGGAATTTTGAAGGTGGAATCACATTGTATTTGGACATCTTATGTTATGATATAATTATAATTCCCAATTCTTTATATGTGATTTAGTATTCTTTTCAGAAGCTCTTAACATCTTTTTCCCCCAATGTCCTAGAATTTAAAACATATTTTTTAGTGTAGTGTGAAGAAGGAGTTAAGTTTATTTTTTTCCACCTTACTATTTTGATTCAGTGTCATTTATTTAAAAAGACTATCTTTTTCCCAATGCTATTTAGTATTACCATTGTCATAAATGAGGTGACTATCTTTGTATGTTTGTTTCTAGACTGGGACATTCCCTTGGTCACTTTGCCATTACTTACAGTGTCTTAATTATGATCTCTTTCAGCAGTTCTCAACCTGTGGGTCACGATCCCTTTGGGGGTTGAATGACCCTTTCACAGGGGTTGCCTAAGACCATCCTGCATGTCATATATTTACATTACGATTCATAACAGTAGCAAAATTACAGTTAATGAAGTAGCAACAAAAATAATATGGTTGGGTGTCACCCCAACATGAGGAATTGTATTAACAGGTTGCGGCATTAGGAGGGTTGAGAACCACTGATCTATTTCTTTGTAATAGAGTTGTCTACATCTTTACTATTTCTTTAAGACTGCCTTTATAGGCTCTGTGCCCAGAGCCCAGTGGTTACAGTGCCAGCCACAAGCACCAAGGCTGGCGGGTTCGAATCTGGCCTAGGCCTGCTAAACAACAATGACAACTGCCCAACAACAACAAAAAAAATAGCCAGGCATTGTGGTGGGTGCCTGTAGTCCTGGCTACACAGGAGGCTAAGGCAAGAGAATCACTTAAGCCTACGAGTT